AGACCTGCTCAGATTCAGTGTAGGAGGGGCTTCCACAAGACTGTGAGTACCCAGAGGCAAGGGATCGGGGGAGGCCCTCTAAAAGGCTAGTTACCACAGGTCTTAGTGAGGAAGAGGGTCGGAGTGTTCTGGATGTGGAAAGAAGACAATGTGGCTGGACTAGGGTGAGTGAGGGAGTAAGTGGTGAGAGCTGAGGTCAGCATTTAGACCTTGAGGGCTGCAGTGAGGGGTTGGGCTTACCCTAAGGGCACCAAGGAGCCATCCAGGTGTGTTTAGTGGGGTAGTGAGGAGGTGACATGATCAGATTTGTGTTCTGAGAAGCTCCCTCCTGCTGCTGTGTGGAGAATAGACTGGGGTAGGCCCAAGTGGCCACCCAAGAAGGAGGCTGGGCAGGCACCCAGGAGAGAGGCGAGTGCGGCAGCCATGGAGGGACAGATTAACTGACTCAAGGGCTGTCTGAAGGAAAAATCTACAGGGCTTGGCAGCAAGCCTCCTGTGATCCCAAACAGAGCTGTCAGCCTGCTCAAGGGCCCTCCAAGGAGCAAGCGACTGCCCAGCACACTCCAGGGGACTTGGGTTTCCCCAGATCGGATTCCTGGCTTGGGCAAGTCACTCCAGCCTGGCGGGGGAACTTGCCAGGCCTGCTCTGGGTCTTCCTGCCTGGCCCCTCCCCCATCGAGGGCAAGAGTGGCAAAGTGCCCCTGTTGAGCCCTGGGATACTATCACCGCTTCTGCCCTGGCCTCTACTGGGCCTGTCACCAAGTGAGAGGTCAGCGCTGTGACTAATTCTCCAGCATCTGGAGTGACTCAGCTCTGGCCTTTTGATTGACCATGGCTCCGGCCACGTGGCCATCCCTCGGCCAGCTCTCGTGCTTTGGGCTGCTGACTTTGGATGCGCTGACACATGGCCTGCTGTTCCCTCTCCTGGCCACTCTGGAGGATGGAATGTGGTCTGGGAAGCTGGAAGATTGGGCCTGACAAATCTTTCTTGTGGGGTTCGGGAACACTACTTTGGAGACGGTGAAGAGGAGGCAGAGTGAATGCCCACAAGAGATGACGGTGGTTTCTCCCAGAGGCTTCAATCATTTCTCTCAAGGGATGAGTCCATTTCTAGATGGGGGGAGGGGGCCTCTGGTGATCCAACAAGTCACTCTGGAGGATCCCGGAAGCCGGCCCTCCCCCCACCTTGTCTGCCACTTCTCTTGGTCAGGAGGGTGGGGTGAAGCAGATGGTGCAGGGACTGGGTACAAACCTGGGTGTGCAACCTGACCTGATGTGGGCCTCAGGTTCCCTGCTTATAGAACGGAAATTACATTTTGTGGGGGAGAAAATAGCTTTTTTACCTACTAACAGTTGCATCATCACTCTGCACCAGGCACCACCTATACAAATTCAACTGATATTTGTGTTCTTCTGTGTGAGCCCTTGAGAGATTCAGCTGTGTACAAGGTAGACGAGGTCCCTGCCCTTTGGAGTTCCTAGTCTATGCAGGGGTCAGCACACTAAGGGCCTCAGGCCAGGCCAAAGCCAACCCATCACTTGTTTTTGTAAATAAAGTTTTATTGGTCTGCCTGTTTGTTGACATATTGTCTCTGGCCACTTTAATGCTAAAAATGGCAGTTGAGTAGTTATGACACAGACCGTGTGGCCCTTAATGCCGAAAACATTTACTATCTGGTCTTTTACAGAAAAAGTTTGCTGACCCCTGCTCTAATGGGACAGGCGGTAAAGAAGAATCTCTGATGGTGGTAAATGCTATGAAGAAATAGGGTAAATGGGATGGAGTGACTGGGGGCTGAGAGGCTGCTTCCAGGTGGTCAGGGGAAGCCTTTGTTTGGAGGCAGCATTTGCACTGTGTGAATCTCCCAGAAGAGTGGTATGGGCAGAGGGACAGCAAAGGCCCTGAGGCAAGTAAGAGCTTCAAAGAATAAAAGAAGGTTAAAGAAGCTGGGGCTTTGGGAGCAGAGAAGGAGACCCATCAGGCAGGACCCTGCAATTTACAATTGGGGTAAAAGCTTAGATTTTATCTCAAGGGCAATGGCAAGTTTTGGCAGGTGCTGGTGCTGGGGCAGGGAGTGGGAGGGAGAATGGCATGGTCCGATTTGATTTTTTGAAAAGCTCTCTGGCTGCAGTTTGAAGGGACTCTCCGGGGCCGCTGGGAGGCCAGGGAGGAGGCTGCTGGAATAGTCCTGGAGAATGATGATGGCCGACTGGGCTGGGGTGGCAACAGAGAGGATAAGCAGAAAGACCTGGGCTGTATTTCAGAGGAAATTTCACAGGAGTTGTTCATGTTTTACATGTGAGAGGAATTCAAGACGGTATCTGGCTTTTTGGTCTGAACAACTTGGGAGCAGACAGTTTGGCTAGAAGCCCAGATTTGGCACCAGCTTGTCCTTGGAAAAACCTTTTTTTTTTTAATGTGCCTGAGCCCTTGTCCCATCATAAAATGGGTCGAGTCATCCCTTCCTCAGAAGATTGACCAAGGCTAATCAAAGAATGTTGATTTTTCTTTGTAATCAGAGAAGAGCCAATTGAGCAGAAGTGCCCAATAAGTGCAGCTGCTCTTCCTGAGTAGAGGCCCCTGAACAGCAGGTCTCATCTGTCCCCGTGGCCTTGTAAGCACCCCTTTTCCCAAGGGGGGTTAGGAGCCTGGATGCTGGGTTCTGACAGGTCTATGGGGCCTGAGCTTCACTCTGGTGACATTGTTTACTACTTGCCACCCTCCCCTCTCTCTGTCCTGCCTCCTTAGTCCAGTTCCTGCAGTGCTGTCCCTCTGGCCTCTGGCCAACCCTGGGGTCACTGTTTTGCACTCAGCCTCTGGCAATAGACACCTGGGTTCATGATCCCTGCTGCTTACTGAGTCTATAATCTTGGGTAAGGGGCCTCAGGGTCAGAGTCCTTGGCAGAGACAGATTACCCAATAAGTGAGGTATGCACGGGCTTATTTGCGCTTACTTACTAATCTGTAGGGCCCAATTTCACCTGTTTTTCACCACATTTTGAAACGTAAAATCGTGCCCTACAGATTAGTTAGTAAATACAAGTAAGCACCTGCGTACCTTGCTTAATGTAAGCTCATGTGCACATTGTTTACTAGTTAATCCACCTCTAGTCCTTTGCAACAAATATCCTAGGCCATGGGAAACGGGGTCTTAATACCTCCCCTTACGGTTGTTAAGGATTAAATAACTCTTCCAAAGAGCTGTACTTATTCAATCTGTATACTGAGCAAATAATCCAAGAAGCTGGACTATATGAAGAAGAACGCGGCATCAGGATGGGAGGAAGACTCATTAACAACCTGTATTAAGCAGATGACATAACCTTGCTTGCTGAAAGTGAAGAGGACTTGAAGCACTTACTGATGAAGATCAAAGACCACAGCCTTCAGTATGGATTGCACCTTAACATAAAGAAAACAAAAATCCTCACAACTGGACCAATAAGCAACATGATAAACTAAGAAAAGATTGAAGTTGTCAAGGATTTCATTTTACTTGGATCCACAATCAACACCCAAGAAAGCAACAGTCAAGAAGTCACATGACCCATTGCACTGGGCAAATCTGTTGCAAAAAGACTTCTTTAAAGTGTTAAAAAGCAAAGCTGTCACTTTAAGGACTAAGATGCGCCTGACCCAAGCCATGAAATTTTCAATTGCCTCATATGCATGTGAAAGCTGGACAATGAATAAGAAAGACTGAAGAATTGACAACTTTGAGTTATGGTGTTGCAGAAGAATATTGAATATACCATGGACTGCCAAAAGAACAAACAAATCTGTCTTGGAAGAAGTACAACCAGAATGCTCCTTAGAAGCAAGGATGATGAGACTTCGTCTCAGGTACTTTGGACATGTTATCAGGAGGGATCAGTCCCTGGAGAAGGACATCATGTGTGTAAAGTAGAGGGTCAGCGAAAAAGAGGAAGACCCTTGATGAAATGGATTGAGACAGTGGCTGCAACAATGGGCTAAAGCATATCAACGATTGTGAGGATGGAGCAGAACCAGGCAGCGTTTCATTCTGTTGTACACAGGGTCGCTATGCATCGGAACCGACTCAACGGCACCTAACAACGACAAGGGCCTAGTACAGTACAGTACACAAACCAGTTGCCATCGTCAAGTGGATTGGCTGGTGGATTCGGACTGCTAACCTTTTGGTTAGCAGCCGAGCTCTTAAGCACTGCGCCCCCAGGGCTCCTAAAGTACATAAGTGCTGACTAAACATTAAATGAATAGCCATTAATTGCAGTCTTACTAATATTTTCAGTCCTGCTGGATCCTGCTATGCTTGGGTAACCCATAGCAACCAGAGGGCCTGAGGTCCACTTCTATCCAGGGAGATCCCTCCCACCCCCAGCTGTTGGGGTGTGTGTGTGCATACAAATGCATTCACTTTTTAACTACAAAAATGTAAAAATATACCACAATTGTTAACTCCGTTCTAGTGCTATTTAAACACACAGGCTGTGGAAGTGGCCTGGGCCTCCCTGCACCGCCAAAGTCCTTGGTGCTAGCTACACATCCCGTGTATCCTCAAGATTTTCTGAAGTAGGTGCTATTAACCTCTTTTGACAGATGAGGAAACTGAGGCTGAGTCCAAATGGCTGCCCAAGGTCGTATAGTAAGCAGACAGGTGGAGGTGGGGTTGAAACTGAAGACTTTAATTCAAGAGCTCACACGTTCGTAACCCCCTGCGGCTGGTGGCTACTTTATCCTTAACCTGCCCAAAAGAATGAATGAATGACCGTCTCTGGCAGGGCGCCCCCTCCCCTGGAAACGGTGGAGCTTGGACGAGCCCACTGTTCCACACGGGGGTGCGCAGCGGCCTCGCGCATGCGCGGCCCCTTGCACAGCCGGCTCCACTCTGTCCGCACGCACTTGTTACGGCCTCTCTTCGCTTGGTACATCCCGCCTTCCCCCGCGTTCGGACCTGCGTGGTACGCGCCGCCTCCGTTCGCCGCCCCTCCCCGTCAGTTTCCGCGCGAAAAGCCGGGGCCGCCCGCGCCGCTGCCGCCGCTTGAACTGCATTCTCCGAGATGCCTGCCCGCACCGCCCCGGCCCGGGTGCCCGCGCTGGCCTCCCCCGCCATCTTACTGCCCGACGATGTCCGCAGGCGGTAAGTGCCGCGGGAGACCACGCACTCGCGGCGAGGCACAGCACTGGGGTGGGGGGGTCGCTTCCCCTCCGGGCGGCCCGGGTCCGCCGCTGACAGGCGGGCGCGCATGCGCGGGGTGGTGCGGCGGCGGTTGGCGCGGGCAGGGTGGCACTTCCGGTCGCGCGCGCCCCTGGCCATTTGGCGCCAAAATGAGCCAAGGCCCCTCGCAGGTCCCTGGTGACTAGAAACTTGGGGTCTCTTCAGACACCAGAGTAGAGCAAGCTTTGGGTTCGCCTCGGGGGTCCTTTTCCCTAAGCAGCCGCTGGCCGGGCTCCTACTGCCAGCCTCGTCGGGCAGGAAGTGGGCAGCCCGCAGCCCTCCGGACACCCTTCAGCCCCGGCAGTCCGGCCTCTACTTCCGGTGCCCGACCCGCTCAAGGGTCGGGGGCGCCTCGGGTTCCCCTTGGCCCCCACGACCCCTACGCGCTGTGCATCCCGATGGCGGCCTCCAGAGACGGAGGTGGCCGGTCAGGGCCCGGGTGTAGCCGGCTCAGGTTTTCGAGCCCCGTCTTACTTGGGGGGCTCCGCTGGGGAAGTCGTATTCTGGAAGAACTCTTACCGTGCACCGCAGGGCCAGGGCTGGGGCAGTGTGAAGGCTGGATGTGTTCTGGTCTTTTTTAGGAAATCTGTGTCTCTGAGGCATGGGCACCGAGGAAGCCTTGCTAGTGAGAGCCGGCTGCAGTTTCCATTGTGTGGGTGAGGGGGCCCACTAATGTCTGGGCCCCCGCCAGAGTACTTCATGCCTAAGTAGGGACCTCTGTGGGAAGACCGTTTGATCCAGGCCTTTGGTCGTGATGGGTGTCACAGTCACTTTGAAAACTTGTTCCAAGTGAGGTGTGCAGGTAGACAGCAGGAACCCTGATCAGGCCTGAACACTTAAAACCAGATTTGTGAACCTGGTTTGGGCTGTTAGGGGTGGGTTAGAGGTACTTGGGTCTCTGTACCAGGGGTTTAAGGTTCAAACTACTTCTTAACCAGGGAATGTGTCTTGTGGGAGGAAGCCATAGGTCCCCCTCTCCCCCAAGATATAACGGGATTTAAAATGGAAGTGGAGTTATGAAAGTACCTGGCTTCATGATGTTAGGCCCCAACAAGAGAAGTTTGAGCCCAGCCTTATTTACCTTGATGGTGAGAACACTTCCTCTACTGACTTGTTTATGGCCTTGGGGAAGTGTATACTTTCTGCATCTGTGGACTAGGATTAATAACATGGATTTTAAACTGGCAGTGGATTAAATGAGAATATGCCTGTCACATAAAGGCTCAATCATTAGCATTGTTATTGGCTAACTTAGCTTAGTTTTTTCACTTCTGTTAATCAGTTACTAATTATATAATGTGCTTTACATTATCTCAGTTAATCGTCAGGAGTTCTTAAGAGTGGATGCTGGAGGAGTTCACTGCTAGGAAGCAGGGGTTCCTGCCTAGGCCTGCTTCTTGCCAAAGCCCTCTTTGACTAGGGCTTCGTTGTGAACAGGCTTAGGTGCTCTGGCCCACACAAGTGTTTTGTTTGGCTGAATTTGAATACCTTTAGGTGAGCTCTGGTGGTGCAGTGGTTAAGTGCTCCACTGTTAACTGAAGGGTCTGTGGTTCAAACCCACCAGCTGTTCTACAGGAGAAAGATGTGGCAGTCTGCTTCCATAGAGATTACAGCCTTGGAAACCCTACGGGACAGTTCTGCTCTGTTTTATAGGGTCACTGTGAGTCAAAATCAACTTGATGGCAGCAGGTTTGGTTTTTCGGTTTAGGTTAATCTTACAATCCACCATTCACCCTGGGTCCAATATTACCTTGGGCTAGAATTGCCCACTGTAGGTATGGAGTTTTGAAAGCCTGCTTTAGACCATGTGGTGGTAATTGAAATGTCAGTTTATGTGACCCGCTCAACAACTTTTTTTTAAATTTACATTTGGAAATATTTCATGGTACACAAAAATACATGCACAAACATGACATTCAGACTTAGATTTGTAAATAGAGGTATAACTTCTTGATTTAGGAAAATTAGTAGAGAAGCATAATCTATAATATAAGAGGTATATAAATCGAGTAGACTATTCTAGGAGCTAAATTTGGCCTGGTCCTCATTATGCAGCTCTTGCAGTTTCTGTCACTTCTTCTAACTTGTGTTTATATGGCAGCTTCCTTTTTAAACTCAGATATGGCTCCATTAGATGTATAATGATACTAGAAAGAATTTTAATGATTGGATTTCTAAGTCTTTAATTTCTTTTTGAAGTATATACCCTTTACCTTTCAGGGCAAGCCACATTTTTCTGCTTGGTTTTTCTTACTCTGTGCAAGCTGTCATCATTTGTACAGAAATGGTGATCGTCTATTTATCTTCCTGTTGCCACTCTTACCCTGAGTCAGGTCTGTATTCTAGAGTGTGGAAACTGTGATCCTCTTAAAACACAGATTGGATACAGTGGTTTTCCTGCCCCACACACTGCCTGGTGCACTTGGCACAAAGTCCAGACACCCTGTCCACTGGCCTGCCTCGTCGCGTGCTCTTCTTGTGAGCCACACAGGCCTTCCTCTTTCAGGTTCTCACCCTGCCTGTGCAGTGGGAGCAGCGAGAGGCTGGGCTTCACCTTCCCTTCCCAAGCTGGCTACTGTCCTTTCATCCTTAAGACCACTGCTCAGAAAGACTCTTCCCTGAAATAAGGGTGTTGAATTCTGTCAGCACACCCAGTGTGCTGCTTTTGCAACCCTGGAGTTGATGATTATTTCAGGGACTGTTGTCAGACTGTGTTTGCCTTTTTCATTATATCTGCAGCCTGGGGCACAGTAGCCTCTCAAATGTTTGCATGCCAGAGTTTCCCTTTTGATGAAGCCTAGGTTTACATACTGATATTAGCAACCTCCTTAGCACAACTCTGATTAGTCTTTACAATTATCACAGCTTTCTTATCTGCTATTTATTCTGTGATTAGATTAAGCAAGGTCTTGAAATTCTTAACTCTAGTTCCATGCTCCCTACTGAGTAGGTATTGAAAAGGACAAAACTGATTTATCTTTTGGAGAACTGCTCCCCTGCAGTGGAATTTAAAGGCAGACTACTTGGGTTCAATCCCACCTGCCACTTACCAGCTTTGTGACCAAGTGATCTAACCTTTGGTTGCCTTGTTGTCTTCCTCTGTAAAATACTCCAGAGGGGTGTTATGAAGATTTACTGAGCTGATAGGTGTAAAGGAGATAGGGCAGCACCCTCACAGAAGCCCCTATCACTGGTTATCCCATGTTCAGCTGAGTATCTAATTTCCATCAGGGGAGCATAATTTAAAATACAGACGGGCAGATCTGATGCTGCGGCTGATGTTAGTGTGGCGATGTGTGCCGTGTGGAACTGAGGTAAATGTTGCTCATCCCATCCTTCCTTTCTGCTTGACTTCTTGTAGCGCCGTCTTCATTTACTATTTCTGCTGCTCCCTTAGCTTGTGTTCCTACTCTTGATTAGAATTTTTTTCTCTTAAGGATAGAGGTGGCTTCCTTAGTATCTTGTTTCTTAAATCTTTGTATCCTTGGCTTTTATGATGCTGTTTACTACCAGGGGCTTTCTTTATTGAATTTTTTCCCCTTTTCTTGTATTCCTTGACCCTCATGTCTTCTAGTCCTAGGACTTCTGGTCTCAGCGATCGGGCTGCTACCTGGAGATGGCTACCTCGAATTTTGATGCCTTTCCTGAGAGCCATTCCTAGTTTCTAGGTGATGAACAGCCATCTAGACAGCTACCATAAACTCCTAAACATCATTCCTGAAACAATTGTCCTGCCTGGTCTCCTTCCTCCCCACGAAAAAGTTCTGAATTGCACAGGTTCCTGTACTAGTAACAAATTACCACAAACTTGGTGGCTTAAATAAAACAACATAAGTTCATTATCTTGTAGTTCTATAGGTCAGAAGGTCTAGTACTGATTTCACTGGATTAAAATCAAGGTGTCGTTTGGCAGGCTGTATTTCCTTTCTGGAGGCTCTATGGCAGAATGTCTCCTGCTCATTTGGGTTGTTGGCAGAATTCAGTCCCTTGCCATTATAGGACTGAGGTCCCGTTTTCTTGCTGAGGGTCATTCCCGGTTCTTAAAACCTGTTGCCGTCAAGTCGATTCTGACTCACAGTGGCATATAGAGGCCACCAAATCCTTTGGCTTGTGGCCCCCTTCTTCCATCCTTCAAAGCTAACAATGGTGGGTCGAGTCCTTATGCCACACCTCTCTCTCTTAACTTCAACTGGGGAGATTCTGCTTTTAAGAACTCTTGTGATTAGATTGGGTCCACTGGATAATCCAGGATAATCTCCCCATCTCGAGGTCCATAACCTTAATCATATCTGCAAAGTCCCTTTTGCCAAGTAAGGTAACATATTCACAGGTTTCTGTGATTAGGGCGTGGACGTCTTTGAGGGGCCATTATTCTGCAGACCACACATAGTGCCTCAGTGTCTACCTACCTCTCCCACCATTCAGCCGGCCTCAAGAGGAAGGGCTGACAGAACTTGTTAACTTCTCTCGCAGTGGTCTCCACTTTTGCTGCTACAACTACATTTCAGACCAGCAGTTCTGATTTAGGAATGTTAGAGTAACTTAACATTTTAAAATCTCTTCCTATCTAGGCTATAGTGTCCATTTCTGCCGGATTAACTTTCCTAAAGCACGGCTCTGAGATTGTGGCTTCTACCTCCCCTGTGACTCCATGGATGGTTTGTTGATAGGGAACAAAAGTGATGATTTTTAGCTTGCCATTTGTCACCTTCCTCAGAGTGACCGCCAGCCTCTTCTCTCTGGACTTGGCTTTTCTACCTTGTGTGTCAGCAGATGTGTGTTTGTTTCCTGGGTGTACCCTGAACTGCATCCCCACTGTGGTGCTTCTGTTGGGACACCTCCCTCTGCCCAGTTACACAGGGCTCTCAGCTGTCTGGATCCTTCCTTCTTGATGCTCTTTCTCTTCCAAATCCCTCAGATTTTAACGGTATTTGTCTGTCGTCTTCACTGTCCTGCATATCTTATCTCCCTTATAAGACTAAATCTCTGAGGGAAGAAACTAGGAGTGAATCATGGGCCCTCAGGCTGGGAGAGATCTAAGGTGGTTTTATCTCATCATGGCTGCTGTTCTTGAGTACTCTGCTAGCTCTATGACATCCATCTCTAATCCTCCTGGTTACAAAGATAAAGTAGATATAAGGTGGTGTCATCACAGTTTTACTGAGGAAAGGATGGAATTGCAAGTTAAGGCCCATGTGGATGCTGGGGAGGAGAAGCTAGCTCACTGCTGAGCAGCTTCCATCCTGTCAGCACTTTTGATTCTTCTGTGCCTGCCCTGCGCTCCAACCTTCCACACTGGGGCCAGGCAGGTTAAATCCAGTCTTTACCGGGCAAGACATCCTAGGTATCCTTAAGATTTCTTTGTTTCTCTTTTTGTCAGGCTAAATGTCTCAGTTCACAGGAAGGGTTGAGAGAATTCAGAGCCGTAGATCTGTCTTGTGCCCACATGTGGGAATGATCAGAATTCTGGAAAGGGCACCTTGCTGGGCTTCACGGTCAGTGAACTCCTGAGGTAACCTCAGGACTAAGGCACTGTCTGGCTGCTCAAGGTAGGAGCTGTGTCCTGCCACAATTTTATGAGCAGAATGACTGAGAAGTCAGATGGAATGGTACTTGAGCTGCACGTGAGCCTCTGGCTTTAAGTGCTGAGTTTTGTGGCTGTCCTGGTGTAGAGCTCTCCCAGGACCTGAGTTACTGCTGGGGTGGAATGAATTTTGCCTGGAAAGGGTGCCATGTACTCCTGGAAATCTTAGTTCTAGTATTCTTGAGTCCAAATCATACAGTGTTACCACTGTGTCTGCAGGGTGCTAAGTGTGTTTTCGCAGAAAGGCCTTTTCTGACCACCCACAAGTCAGGAGGTCCCTGCCTGGTGGCACCTGCATCCACTCACCAGGTCATTGCCTGGAGCAGGGCCTGGCATGCAGTAGGCACCCACAGTTGTGAGTGGCGATTGAAGTCCACATATGCTTGGAGCAGCCAGTGTATGACATCAGTCCAGCAAAGCCCATCACTTTTGGTTTTGCTGCTTACACTTGCCTTCTGGAAAGACCAGCCTAGAAGAGCTGTGTTTCTGTCCTTCAGGCTAGTGGTTACAGCACCTGGTCTGTGTCGGTGCTGGATGGAAGGGTGCAGAGTTAGAGGAGGCCTAGTCCCTGCCCAGGGTTCTCCCCCTCCTCTGACAGACGCTCACCCAGCTGGTTAACCCTGTTCTCATCCCACTGCCCGCAGTCAGCACCTAGACTAGGAGCAGTAGCCTCTCTGCTCATCTCCCTTTCCTTTGCGTCTTCTCTTGTTTTCCCCCTTCCTCCTAAGAAGGCAAGACACTTATCTTCAATAATCAAATGATTTTCCACCCAAACTCATGACAGTTCTGCACTTCCAAACAATTAGGTACAAATATTCCTAAGGGTAAACTCTCTTTGGTTAGATGCCAGCCACCTTTTCTAACGTCCTGTCTCACCCTGTCCTGCACATGGGCACCCCCTGCTGCCCCAGATGCCTTGACTCCCCCATTTTATACGTTCCTTATTAGAATGCTGCCAGCCCCAGCTCAGTCTTTGGGAATATTAGCTTCCTGTTCCCCACAGTATCCTGTGGTCCTGGGTCGCTTATTCTAACACACATGCCCACACTGTGGCACACCCTTGTACAGGCTCTTGCTAGACCCAAATAGAGGGAGACCAGCTGTATGTCATTTAACTGATAGGAGGATTCCAGCTGTGTGACCTGCTCCCTTTTTCTGGTACTTGTAAAAATAGTATATATTATGGTAGAGAGCTCTTATGTCATCTCCGCATTATCATAAAAACCATCTTCAAATGGGTCCTCATTCAGATGATCACAAATGACTTCTTAGTGTGTAGGCATTACTGTAGGATATTCTAGACATTGGAGGGAGAAAAAAAGTCACTTTTTTTTCCTTTCTAACATTCACATGTGTTAAAAGGAACCTGGGTGGCACAAGCACTTTGCGACCAGGTGCTAACCTAAAGGTTGGCGGTTCAGACCTACGCGGCAACTCCACGGAAGAAAGGTCTGGTGATCCTCTTTTGTAAAAATTACAGCCAAGAAAACCCTACGGAGCAGTTCTACTCTGTAACACATGGGATTGCCATGAATCAGGCTGACTTGATGGCAACTAATGACAACATATGTGTTAAACTTATTTCCAGAGTTGATTAACTGTCATATTAATTCTTTTATTGTGGTGAAAATATATACAGCAAAGCATATACCAAATTAACAATTTCTACATGTGTAATTCAGTAACATTGATTACATTCTTCGAGTTATGTAACCATTCTTGGTATCCTTTTCTAATTTATTTCACTACCATTAACATAAACTGACTGCCCCCTAAGCAAAATCTTCCCTTATCCCCCCGAATTAATTCTTACAGGTTAAAAAAAAAAAACTGCTCAATAAGCGTTTTTCTTTCTTCCCCCAGGCTCAAAGATTTGGAAAGAGATAGCTTAACAGAAAAGGTAATCCACCTTAACATTTTTTTTTTTTTTTTTAACTACCAAATGTGACTGATAGATACCTTGTGCTAATTAAAAGAGATTTGCTTCCTTTAAGTGAATCTGCTCTTTTTCCCATGAAATTTCAAGGATAACTTGGATACTCTACAGTAATAATAGTTGAGTTTTGGTAACTCGTTGCAGAGTTACCGTCAGCTCTGGACTGTAACTTGTCCTGATAACACTGTTTTCAGGTGCACAGTTTTGTCCTATCATACCACTATGTATCTTTCTCCCACCTCTGATCTTCCATTTTCACTGCTTTGGAGGTGAATGTGATGTGAGCTTCTTGGAAACATCATGAATGTGTTTTTTGAATATTTAGTTTTTTGGCTGAGACAGCATTGCTTGCCATTTGGTCGTTATTACATGTCCAGGCAACTTAATTATTTGTGTTTTAGTCCATTAATTAATGGCTTGGGAGTTTGAGGACTTCTAAACCTATATCCTTCCCTTAGGAATGTGTGAAAGAGAAATTGAATCTCTTGCATGAATTTCTGCAAACAGAAATAAAGAATCAGTTATGTGACTTGGAAACTAAATTACATAAAGAAGAATTATCTGAGGTAAGTCACTTCTCAGCATCCCGGCTTCTAGAAAAGTCGCCTTCCATGTAACTTGTCTGTGACCAGGGAGGCAGAATAATCTCCAGCTCTCCTCGTTGCCTGATAGTTATAAAGGAAACGCATGTGTTTCCTTGTTCTCTTATTGCCACTTGTTTACATTCACTGCTACTTAAATTATCCTTTCCTGCTGTAGGAGGGCTACCTGGCTAAAGTCAAATCCCTTTTAAATAAAGATTTGTCCTTGGAGAACGGAGCTCATGCTCAGGAAGTTAATGGATGTCTAGAAAACGGGAGCCATACGAGTAAAGAAGATCGCAGAATGGCAGAGGCAAACAAACCCTCCAAGCCTGTTTCAAAACCTCGCGCGTCCCGAAGAAGCAAGTCAGAGGGAGAGACTAAGTGTAAGAATACTTAACTTGTTTTAAACCTTGATGGAGATATGATTGGCACTTCAGGGGGTGTTCACACTTGGAACCATACTTACCCTGGGCAATATTTCCTGGTTTGTTTCTTGTGTATACAGGGGTACAGTAATCCCCCTTTATCCACGGTTTCAGTTACCCGAGGTCAAACGCAGTCTGAAAATGTTAAATGAGTTCATAGCATGATGAACTCTCTCACTGTCCCACTCTGTCATTCACATAACTTTGATTACAGTATATTGTTATAATTGTTCTATTTTAGTATTAAGTTATTGTTATTAATCTCTTACTATGCCTAATTTATAAATTAAACTTTATCATAGGTATGTATGTATAGGACAAAACATAGTATATATAGGGTTCAGTACTGTCTGTGGTTTCAGGCATCCAGGGCGGCGGTCTTGGACCTTATCCCCTGCAGATAAGGGGGGATTACTGTACAGTACTGCATACTTCTAACTAGCGTAGATGTGTGCTGCTTTAAATTTTGTCTTTGACCAGTTATAGAGCAAGAGATCCCCAAACATGGCTCAATTTATGAGAGATAATTAATTAGATGACAAGAGCTACTAATATTACTTCTAAGAAGTTATATGCCTGTTGCAGCTATACATTTATTCTTAGACTTCTTCCCAGTTTATAGGCAAAGTAACTCATTTTGGACTTTAAAAAAAAAAAATAAATAAAGTAAGAGCACAGGACTTGAACCCAAGTCTGATTCTCAGCCACTTTGTCTTTTGATGATATCTAAGTTGTTGTTATGTGCGGTGGAGTTGATCTGGCTCATAGACTCTATAGGAAGGAGTAGAACTGCCCCATTGGGTTTCCAAGGAGCAGCTGGTGGATTCGAACTGCCGGCCTTTTGGTTAGCAGCCTGAGCTCTTAACCATGGCGCCACCAGGGCTCCGGCGATTTAAGAGGTGGTTCCATTTCCTTGTCTGGTTCAGGGTTTGGTCCCCTCAAATAAGAGCGCATGTAAAATGGCTCAGAAAACTATCTGGTGCCAATTGCTGACGTTATCACGTGGGTATTGATTAGAATAAAAACCAAAGGGTGCTCAACCCTCAGAAGCCGTTCTCTGCAGGTCTCTGCGGGTCTCTGCGGGTCTCTGCAATAGTGTGGCCACACTGAAGAACTACACCATTGTTGTGGACTTTTTATTCATGGTGGCTTTTTTCTTGTTTCTTTTTTTCTTTAAACAGCTGACGTTTCACCTAGCCCCAGGATTACAAGGAAAACTACCAGGCAGACCACCATCACATCTCATTTTGCAAAAGGGTAAATATGTAATGAATTGACAACTGCCTTTTCTAAGCACTCACTGTTTTTGGTAAAACATGAGTGGAATTTGCAGTGTGTAATTTAGGAATTCTGACTTCTGTATTTCATAGGTTTTTATCTTGCAGTTTTGTTCATTAGATATTCATGAATAGCATTTCTGGAGACCTCATCTAGTTTTACTCTTATTATAGAAAACGTCAACTATATAAAAAGTGAGGATAGTATAATAAGCCCCCAAGTACCTATCACCCCAGTGCCAACTAGTTATCAACTCATAGCTGTCATTTCATCTCTACCTCCAACTGGATTACTTTGAAACAAATCACCGGATTGTCATCATCTATAAATATTTCAGTGTATTTCTAGAAGATAAGATCTCTCTTTTTTTTAGTAAACCATAACAATAATAATATTTTCGTGCCTAACAAAATGTAATAATTCCTGTTTATGAAATATATAGTCAGTGTTCTCATTTCCCCGTTTGTGGCAAACACTCCAGGCCCACACAGTTTTGCATTTGATTGATTTGTTTCTTAAGCCTTTCACATTATAAATTCCTTCTTCTCTTCTTGCCGTTTATTGGAGAAAGCTAGATTATTTGTCCAAATGAGTTTCTAGATTTGACTGGTTGCATCCTTGTGGTGTTCAGTGTGTTCCCTGTCTCATGTTTCCTGTAAGCTGGGAGTTAGGTCTAGAGGCTTGATCAGATTCCATCTGTTTATTTTTTGAGGCTGACTTCTTCACAGATAGTTGGTAGTGTGTTCCTCCATCAGAAGCATATCATGTCTTTTGGTAATAATAGCAGCCGTTGATCAGTGTCTAGATCCCTGATGCCTTAGAGGTTGCAAAATAGTGGTATTCTAAACCTGTCATTCAAAGAAACATTAAACCTGAAGCTTCTTTCAACATTGTGGCAGTGAGGATGTCTCCTGGGAGTGAAGAAAGCACCCATGCCCTCAACGGGTCCTAAAGAGAGTGCTCTTGGTAGGGAGGAGTTTGGGTTAAGTAGGGTCCACTGGAGGTGTAGGGTCCTGCTGAGCTAATGGTCAGCCTTACTGTGTGACAGCCCTGCCAAACGGAAACCTGATGAAGAGCCTGAAAAAGCAAAATCAGAAGATTCTGTTGATGAAGAAGACAAAGACCAGGTAGGACTAGCATTTCTAAGTTTCTTAACTCTGCCTAATTTTGGTATATTTGCTGGTGATCGTGACCTTAACACCTGATCTGTCGAAATGGACTTTACTCAGCTAGAGGGCATTACAACACATTCTCGGACCCAGGGCAGTACGAGGTGTATTACAGTTAGACCAAAGGGCTCTGCAGGCCCCTGCTTCTCACAGGACCGCCCCGTAACTTCAGAGTCTGTACCCCGTAACTTCAGTGCCTTCGTACCACTCTAGCTTGTAAGATTTGTGACAGTCATACTAGCAGATGTGACACGTTTAAAGCATTTGCTTCTGATGTCAGATAAACTCCTTTCTTGTGTCTAGTTAAAAGCAGAGAGTTGTACCGTTGCTATTCGCTGCTCAGACTCTTTAGGTTAAAAAGCTGGTGGCTTGCTGAGGGCCTGCAACATAGGACGTGTTAATCCTGTATGGTACTGCCCCGTGTGACTTGAGGGTCAAACCTAAGTAGTACCAGATGATCACACATTATCAATGTTCATTTCCGTTTTGCTGCCGATTTAACTATGTAGGTTAAAGGGAAATCTCAGAGTTTTACTTGTGTAAATGTCTTACTGCTACCTGGTAATGATGGGTATTCATGGTTTGCTCTAAGACAGACCTCAGCCTCGGCACTGTTGACTTTTGGGGCTTGATAATTCTTTGCTGTAGGAGGATATCCTGTGCATTGTAGGGTGTTTGCTGCATCCTTGGCCTCCACCCCCTAGATGCCAGTAGTGCTCCCCCACCCAAGCTGTGACAATTAAATCATCTTCAGACATTGTCAGATGTCCCCTGGGGGTGGAATCGCCATGGGTGGAGGGTACTGGGCTAAGGAGACTGTCTCAGTGTCACTTGGGTAGGCTTGACATCTGGTTATAAGACACACTAATTCTCACATCATTTACTTCTTAGAAATTAGAGGTCACTGCTTATGTTCTTTACTCAGATATCTATTGTTAGGTTTAGGCTGACTACCCACTCAACTGGGAAATTGAGGCACAGAGGGAAAGAGCTTGTCCAAGTCATGTGACCAAGTCTCTTGGCCTCCTAGGAAGAAGCTTACAGGTGAAAGCAAGCTGAGTTTTGTAATATTGATGACCCTGTTTTTACGAATGTACCGGTTTTAGCCATCATGTGTCTGTCAGTTTGTTGCACTTTGGTGGCTTGCATGTTGCTGTAATGCTGTAAGCTATGCCACTGGTATATCAAATACCAGCAGGGTCACCCATGGTGATCAGGTTTCAGTGGAGCTCCTAAAAATATTGGCCATTGAAAACCTTACAAAAAGCAGCAGAGCATTGGCTGATAAAGTGCCAAAAACTGAGCCCTCAGGTTGAAAGGCACTCAAAATATGACTGGGGAAGAGCTGCCTCCTCAAAGTAGAGTTGACCTTAATGACGTGAAGACGTTGCAGGACTGAGCAGGATGGTGCAGTGTTTCGTTCTGTTGTACATAGGATCACTATGAGTCAGAACCGACTTGATAGTACCTAACAACAACCAGTTTTAGAGTTGTTTTCTTGTATTTTTCCCTTTTGGAAGGTTTTGCCTTTTGTCTGGCTTCTAAAGGGATGCACCAGAGCAGTGTCTCCTAAGCATGCAGCCATTTCACTGGCAGCGTGTGAGGGGCTTGGGGGCTTCATAGATGAGCACTTACAACAAGTGTTTATTCTAATATGTTAGAATAAGACTTAGTATAGCAAACCAATGTTATTGGATGGTATTGGTCAAATAAGTTATCAAATACAGTAAAACCTGCAAAAGCTGGAACCTAGGTAAGGCAGTAACCTGTCAGAGAAGGAAAACTCAAATATTTTCCATTAAAATGAGTGTTAGCAAAGTGGTAAGACTGCACCCTGTCAAAGGTGGCAAACTTGTGAGACCTGGAAAAACAAGGCAGTCCCGTTGAGTTCTGGCTCTCACAGATTTCATGCTAGTGTTCTCAGATGATATTGGTCAAATACAGAGATAATCTTATTTTGGTCAGTTTGAAGTATTGAGAATTTACTGTGTCTTAAAAGCAGGTATATATGCATTTGATAAAATTTTTGAACAGTACAAAAGGATATTCAGTGCATTGATCTCCTTCCTTCCCTGACTCCAGGCCTTCAGTTTTCCTTTCTAGAAGCAAGCATTTATCAGTGTTTCCTATATGTTTCAGATACATATATATATTTCAGCTGTTGTTCTCCTTTAAAATTTTTTGTTTTGAAATATTTATGTTGTCATGTGCCGCCGAATTGGCTCCAACTCATAGCATGGCAGAACGAAATACTGCCTGGTCCTGCGCCATCCTCACAGTCATTGTTATGTCTGAGCCTATTGTTGAAGCCACGGTGTCAATCCATCTCATTGAGGGTCTTCCTCTTTTTCACTGACCCTCTACTCTACCAAGCATTATGTCCTCCAGGGACTCATCCCTCTTGATAACATATTCGAAGTATGTGAGACGAAGTCTCTCCATCCTCACTTCCAGAGAGCACTCTGACTATACTTCTTTCAAGACAGATTTGTTCGTTCTTCTGGCAGTCCATGGTATATTCAATATTCTTTGCCAACACCATAATTCAAAAGCATCAGTTCTTCTCTGATCTTCCTTATTCGTTGTCCAGCTTTTGCATGCAAATAAGGCAATTGAAAGTACCATGGCTTGGGTCAGGCACACCTTCGTCCTCAAAGTGATATCTTTGCTTTTTAACACATGAAAGAGGTCTTTTGCAGCAGATTTGCCCAATGCAGTATATCTTAGTTATCTAGTGCTGCTATAACAGAAATACTACAAGTGGATGGCTTTAACAAACAGGAATTTATTTTCTCATAGTTTCAAGGAGACTAGAAGTCTGAATTCAGGGTACCAGCTCCAGGGAAAGGCTTTCTCTCTCTGTCGGCTCTGGGGGAAGGTCCTTGTCATCAATCTTCCCCTGGTCTAGTAGATTCTCAGCACAGGAACCCCGAGTTCAAAGGACTCAGTCCATTCCTGGCTCTTCTTTCTTGGTGGTAGGAGATCCCTGCCACCACAGTACGACAAATTGACAGACGGGTGGTAATGAAACAATTATAGACTCATAGGAAGTTGTAAAAATAGTACAGAGAGATCCTGTTTGGCCTTCACCCAGCTTTCTCCAGTCCACATCTTACATAACTGTAATACAATATCAAAACAAGGAAAATGACAGGTACAACCTACAGACTTTATTCAGATTTCCCTAGTTTTACATGCAGTTATTTGTGTGTGTGTGTGTGTGTGTGTGTGTGTGTGTATATGGTTCTATGCAGTTTTATCACATTTATGGATTTGTGTAACCTCCACCTTAAACAAGATACGGATCTGTTTCATCACTACAATATCTTTATCCCTTTTAAATTAAAGAAGTAAGTACAGGTGTCCTGGAGATGGCAAATGTTGTGAACTTAGGGAAGCAGTGTACTAGGATAGTCATCTGAGAAGAAGAGCTAGTGTCAGATTGTCATCATCACTTCCTGATTTAAATCCCAAATTACTACTTCGTTGGTTTTTTTCCCCTAATATTAAAGAATTCCTTTTGTGTGGTGGAGAATCTTTGAATCTTTTGCAGAGCATCACTAGGCAGTCTCTAGTAAGCAGAAACGTGTTAACTCTTGCACCTCTTCTTGGTTTTGGGATTGATGGGATAGCAACACTAGGCTGACAGTTGCCCAGATCTTCTCCCCAAAACCCAGACCCCTCTTCCCTACTCTGTTTTTAGACATGTTAAATATATTTACTTAATACTTTGACTGATGCTTTTGGTCTTGATCTTCTTTTGAAACAAATTTTCTTTTTTTTCTTCCTCCCTCCCCTCCACATAGGATGAAAAGAGACGTAGAGTTACCTCCAAAGAACCGTAAGAGTAGTTAACATCCTTTCTTTTTGTTCTACGCAATGTGTAATCTAGAATACTGAAATGATTTTTATGGAAAGTTTAACAAAGAAGAGCTTTATAGTGAGTTGCCATGGCTACCATAGATCTGTTAAGGAGTCCACATTTGGGGTCAGATTATTAATCTTTTGATTCAGGTAGAATTCTCATTACTTGCAAAGAAGGAATTGAGCACAACAGGCAGTTCTTATCAGTCCCTGATTTAAAGGTCATATTAAATATTAAATGTTAAAGTAGCATGTGCCTTTCAGGGCTCCTGAGATGCCGATTGCTATTTGGGAGGCTCTTGTGTAAACTACTTCTGAGGGAGGAGTCTGTGTAAGTCACACTTGGGATGTGTTTTATTTTGCTTGACAGAGTTGTTAGACCTCTCCCTGCAGAAGAGCCGGAAAGAGTAAAACCAGGAACTCATACCGAAAAGGAAGAAGAAAGAGATGAAAAAGTAAAGCCTTGCCACCTCCATGTCTGTTAACTCTCCCTTAAGCTCATACAGTCCCCATTTGATTCTGGGAGGGGACTAGAGGTTGAGGAGTGGGTAGGAACAGAATAACTTTCCCTGATGATCAAAAAGACCTTGACCTTGATTAAAACAAATTTCAAACTAGAATTTCTGGTGGTTTTCTACACGGGAGCTGGGGTAATAGTAAATCCACCAGTGTTAGATCTGTGGGCCTTTACTGTTTAATCAGTCACAGAGCTTAAATCTGTCTCTTTGCCTGCTTGCCTCACTTGCCGACAAGATCTTTGGGGAGATCTGGTTTTCAAACGTCTGAGGTACTAAAAGTCTATAGCATCATCCAAATATGAGGTTGCATTTTTACCTGTGAGATCAGACCAGCTCTTTTCCTAGTCCTCCGGCTCCTCTGTAAAATCGGAGAGCCCCTGAGCCGCCTTGAGGTGGAGGGAGAGGGAATGGGTGGTTTGCTGAGGGCTTCGGATACTGGAAACTTGACCATTAGACAACGTTGACCGGTATGACAGGGGGCCGGCTTTGTGATTGAAAATGATGGGGCAGCATTGGCTCCCATTTTTTATTTTGTTAGATTTTAATTTGTTGCTAAGACATTGATTAGAGGTTTCTTACAAACTTGGATGGGTGGTGAATGCCTTTGCTGGAATCCTGCTAAAGGATGGGTATCCATTATTTTGCTATAATGAGGGGTTAACTAAGATGTACAATAATTCTTGAACCATTTGGTACTTGAAGGTAATCTTTAATTAGTCACTTTTCCTACCCTGATACTAGTTAAAATTTGGTAAATACTCACCAAGAGTTCACTTCGGAACTAGGTGGCTCTAGTGTGCTAGTCCAACCATGATCCTCCCGAGAAGGAACCAGGGGCAAGTTGAAATCCCTTGCCTGTGGTCAAGTGCCCCCGATCCCTTCTTACAGTAGAAAGGTCTGCAGTGTGTTTCTTCTCTTAACATCACAGATCTCTTTATAATAAACAACCACATGTGGAGTTTTGTTTTAATTGTGGTCAAATATATATAGCAATGTGTGACATTTTGGAGGTTGAATTCAAGTTGAGCGGTTTTCTGGAAAGCTGTGCGTAGCGTTTTTGAATTCAGGCTCGACGCGATGGGTTGTCCATGTTTGAGATGGAATTACTGTCTAAATTAGGTCATGCTACTTCATCCTTTCATTACAGATTTCTAGTTTTGATATAAAATTACCTATGAAGTTGTCAACACTTACTGATGACAGATGATAGAGGGATATGAGGGTAAAATCCTTGAATTGCAGTATTGTAGGGTCTATCTTCTAAGAATTTAATATTCTCCCTGCTCACTCGGTTGAAAAACAGTTGTCTCAAATCTAGACAGTCTTTATTCCTACTAACTAGACTGTAGGATTAGTTTAGATATTTTATTTCCATAAAACTTTCAATAAATGGCTTCAAAGAAAGAGCAGGGTAAAATAGAAAAAATTAACTAGTCTTTTCTTCCCCACTTAGGAAGAAAAGAGACTCAGAAGTCAAACCAAAGAACTGTAAGTATAGTTAATATGCCTTTATGCTTTCTATGAAACTTAGTTGCTAAAATAAGCATTCTGGTAGTTGATGCAGAGGATTAGGTACATTAACCATATGTGTAGTATCTGGGTGAATTTTGCTTGTGAAAGGTCAGACCACCACAGCAAAGGCTGAAGTCAGGTTTGATTCTTGCTCCTGACCCTAGGCCATTCCTCAGGGGTGGTCCTGTAGCAATCTGTCACGTGGCGGTAAAAGGGCATCGAGGTCATAGCTGTGTCCGTTACCTATTGCTTTGAAAATGCTGGGTAACAAGCCACCCCAAAGCTCAATGGCTTAAAACAGTAAGCATTCCCACCCAAAAAAAAAAATCCAGTAAGCGTTTATTGAGCACGAGTCTGTGGCACAGTGGCTGTCAGCTGATCCTGGCCAGCCTTGGAGGGGATGACTGGGCTGACTCGTCTGTTCCATGACTCTGCTAGCCTTAGTGCACTCTCATGGCAACGGCAGAGCGTGAGAGCAGAAGTGAAAAGAAGCACTTTTTCAAGCCTTTGTTGACATCCAATCGCTCAAAGCAGATGATGAGACTGGGCCAGAGTCAGGGGAGGGCAGAATACCCTGCCCTGAGTGGAGGGCCCATGCATGCAGTCAGCTTTCTGTGGTCGCTAATGCACATCGCACATCAGACCAGCTCCCAGGAACCTCCACAAGGTCGGCCTCAAGGCCAGACGCTTGCCTTCTCCCACTGCAGGGAGATTTCCCTGCAGGTTGCCAGAACTCAGTAGAGTCCTATTCTTTGTTTTAAATTACTGGCATCTCTCACAACGTTCATATGAAGTATTGATGGTATTTCTGAAGATCTTAAGGACTGAAGGAAGAATTGCCTTTCAGGTTTTCTGCAGTGAAGACTTACCTGCCCTTCAGCTGGGAAGGGGAGTCCCTGCTCTAGATCTGGGGAGGAGGCCATGTGAGCCCTCCTTGGGGCTGCTTGAAATGGTGTAGGGGTCTCCGAGCTCCTCACTGGCACGTGTATGTTGTTTTGTGTGACAGAACACCTAAACAGAAACCTAAGGAGGAGCCAGACAGAGAAGCAGTACCAGGAACTCACACTGAAGTGGATGAAGAAGGAGATGAGAAAGTAAAGACTGAGTCTTTGTTTCTTAACTCTACTCTTCGTTGGGAGAAATGGTGTCGGGTAGGGCACTGGGTACAAATTCAGCCCTTCTTACCCATAGGGTAACTCTGGACAAGTTCCTGATCTACCTTTTGGGGGCTAGTGGTTGTCACCATGTGTCTGTCCCTGATACATTGTGAGTGTTCAGTTGTTCTCTGTTTATCCATAATGGTGGAGAGGGCTTTGTGTGTGCCTTGACTAAGATGTCTGTGAAACCAGCTTCTCTTGTGATCCTCTGCACTGAGAAAACTTGATATATGGTAAACGCAGACCCAGGTGTCAGCCACACCTCTGCTTCTTCACCAGTCGGTGTCTTAAATTCTTAGTCTAGCCCCCCATCCCCACCCAAGCCTCCCTGCTTCCAGTTCAGCTAAGTGAACATGTTTAAACCCTGAAACGTTATCCATGGAGCCAGTGGGTCCTTTGCACAAGCAGAGGACAGTGAAGTTATCTGCAGGGCAGTCCTGCCTCTGGAACTCCGGAGGAGGATACGGCATCTACTGGGGGCACAGGAGTCCGAGCTGTTTAAGCAGTTTGGTCCCTCTCAGATTAAGAGAGGTGAATTAGGAGAATCCCAGGATTGTCACTGTGGTTTTCTGCCTGTGGATCTGGAGCATGGAGGGAGCCTGAAGTCACAGACTCGCTGGGTCGTGAGCATTCTCACTTCTGACCTGGCCACCCATGGCATAGTTTTCATTCTACGGCAGATGATCCTGTCCAGCTTGCTCTAATGTCTTACTGTTTCTCACCTTCTCTATCCAGATATTGGTTACCATGGGCAGCAATTACTGTCAACACTTCCCTGGAATCCCTTTCAGAACTAGAGAGTTCTTAGTGGTGTAGGCAGACCACCCATTCTCAGAAGGAAACTAGCAAGAGCCTTAGATCACAGCCAGCACTTTTGCCTCATGGTAGAAGGGGATGTAAGGATCAAACATTTGGCTTTTCTCTTGTTGTTGACTTTTCTATTTTTATAAACCTATTCATAGATTTGTTGCTTTATGAAGATAAACTGAATAAATGTATCAGAAAGGTATTTTTTGTATGTAGGCTCCGAAAATACTAGACTGTTCATGTATAACAAGGAGCTGGTACCCAAGTTGGGAATTCCTACTTTTATTTCTTAATTTTCTGTATTAAATTCCTAAGTTCGATTTTTTTCTGATATCCCAGTGCCTGTCTATCTGAGACCAGATGGTAGGTGGAGCTGTACGCAGTTTGGCTGATAGAAGCAAAATGTCTATACGTTTTCTTCTACACTGAGTAGTCTTGGACAGAGGTTGGCAAACTACAGCTCTCAGGCTAAATTAGGCCCCCTGCCTGAATAAAGTTATATTGGAACACAGCCATGCCTTTTCATTACCTATTGTCTTTGTCTACTTTTGTGTTACAACAGCAAAGTTAGTAGTTGTGACAGAGACCACAGACTCACAGAGTCTAAAATATTATCTGGCCCTTTAAGAAACAGTTTGCCAACTCCTATTCTAGGAGTTTCTTTAGTACTGTCTTGTTTGTAGGGGATCGGAAACTAAGTCAGTGAAAGTCTGAAGCCTCTTCGCTACCCTCTAAATCAGCCCAGGTCTTTCTGATCTCTAATTCTGCAGTACTGAGATCATTAATTGATCCTTTGGTCTTGGTCTTTCTCAGAAACTAATTTTCCACCCTTTCTCTCTCCACGCTCCACCTCCCCATCTCAGGATGAAAAGAGGCACAGAAGTCAACCCAAAGATCTGTAAGTAATTAAATGTGTGTACCTTTGCACAATGTTTTGTGTAATCTTAATTACTGAAATACCTATTGTGAAATCCTATGATGATATAGAGGTTTACAGGTGTTGCTGGTGCTATTCAAAGATTGAGTCAATTGGGGCAGAATTGGATAAGAAAAACTCTGGGCCCATCCTTACCCTCCTCTGCTTCTGCCAGCATTCCCATCACACTGTGCAGAATCATGCATGCCTTCCATCGTCTCTGTTTGGACCCTACATGTGAATGGTCAGATAGCACTTAGGAAGGCCATATTTCAGAATTTCAGAATTACAAGTTAGTAATACGCCTTTAAGGAGCCCTGGTGGCACTGTGCTGCTAACCAGAAGGTTGGCGGTTGGAAACCACCAGCCACTCCACTGGAGAAAGATGTGGCAATCCGCTTCCAGGAAAATTTACAGCCTTGGAAACCCTATGGGGGCAGTTCTGCTCTGTCCTATAGGGTCGCTGTGAGTTGGAATTGACTCGACAGCAGTGGATTTTAATGTGCTTTTAGACCTGATGTGACGGGCTTCTTTTTTGGATGGGAGGAAAGAGTTCATTCCCCAGATCTATTCTGAATATTTTACTTTTCAGTGGGGAGTCATTAGTTTGTCATTTTTGGTGCTAGTTGGCAATATAGTTAGTTTTTCTGAGCTAGTATTTTGTGTATTTTTGTTTACGTATCAGGGCTGCCAAACGGAGACCTGAAGAAAAAGAACCTGAAAAAGTAAAACCACAAATTTCTGATGAAAAAGATGAAGATGAAAAGGTAAATCTTTGAAATTTCTTTTTGAATTTTACCATAATTTTATGCATTCCATTGGTTGGGGTATAGTTTAAAAACTGATTTTTTTAAATTAATTTTTTATTATGAAAAGATTCAAACATACACAAAAGTAGAATAGAGTTAGGAACCCCCACGTACTCATCATCAACCTTTAGCAGTTATCAGTTAGCTCGTGGCCAAGCATGTTTCAACCAAACCTCCACCCATTCTTTTCACCCCATGCCTGTTCCTGGATGATTCTGAACAAACCCCAGACTTGCTTACGGAAGTATTTATAGAAGAAATAGCTTTAAAAGAAAAGTATTCTCTTTTTTTAAACAACCACATTCCCATTATCACACCTAACAAAGTTAATAATATCAAAGGTCTAGTCTGCTCACATTTCTCTGATGTATCTCAGTTTTTTTTTTTCCTTAACAGTTTGAATCGAGACCCAAACCAGATAACCTGTTGTCATCGAATCAATTCCGACTCATAACAACCCTATAGTACAGAGTAGATCTGCCCCATAGGGTTTCCAAGAAGCGGCTGGTGGATTTGAACTGTTGACCTTTTTGGTTAGCAGCCATAGCTCCCCGTAGCTCTTAACCACTGTGCCACCAGGGCTCCATTTGGTTGATATTTGTCCTAAATATCTTACTTTATAGGTTTTCCCCATCCTTTTGATCGCGATTTGTTGAAGGAACTGGGTTTTCAGTAGAATTTTCTGGATTCTGGATTTTGCCAGTTGCGTCCCTCTGGCGTTTAGCATCTCCTTCCACCCCTGTGTCTCCTGCAGACTGGTAGTTAGGTCCAGAGACTAGGCCAGATGCTGGTCTTTTGTTGTCGTTTGTTTTTTTCAGTACTTCAGAGGTGGTGCCAGAGCTTCATGTTGCATCACACCTGGAGGCACATTTGTCTCTTTTATGATGTTAAGATTGATCCCTGGGTTCAGGTGCTGTCTCCCTGATCCCTTCCTTATAAAGTTTCTCCTCAGGTTTTTACCAGTTTTGTTTACAGTCATTGCCTGAATCAGTTCCTTCACTAGGGGTTGCCAAGTGGTGTGAGTCTAGTTCTGTCATTCCTTTATTTACTTGAAATAATACTAGAAACAAACTTTCCCTCATCAGTTATTTGCTTACCTTGAGGGACCATTTGGATAGGCAAGCTAAGGGTTTAAAAAAAAAGGTCTCTCTTGTGAATCCTTTAAGGAAGTCTTTGATTGTAGTAAGATTTTTGATGATTTAGATACTGAGGGTGAGTCAGGTCACAGGTTGCTTTTACTATATTTGTGATAATCAACTGTATAAAATACTTAACTCTGAGGCATTTTCCAGATGTGAAGTACTTGTTCAGCGTTTTCTCCTCTTCTGTTTTCTCCATTTAGGAGGAGAAGAGACGCAAAACTTCATCCAAAGAACTGTAAGAATTTGTTTTTTTGTCTTTATACAAAGCAGATCCTAATATGAAAGTGATTGTTCATTTTAGAAAGAAAGATAAAGGGGTTCTTAGTGAACTGCTAGAGCCATATGGGATTTGATCGCAAGACTGAGACGCATCAGTTCTACTGCTTCATGTGGTAAAGAACCACTTGTGACCTTAGGCATAAGTCTGACAGGGTTGCTTTTGTTATAGTCTCAAATGATTAAAAAAAAAAAAATGATCTTGTGCTTTGTTCCCAGAATTGAGAAAAAAGTATCTCGAACCAAAACAATAGTGTCCTCCAAGGTAAGCTGTTTCTCTTTTGAATGAGCATAACAATGCTAATGTTGTCCTAGTCAAATTCCTGTCAGATGTTGTATGTCTGCTGAAGGGTTTTGGGGATGTGGACCCTGTCCTGTAGAGCAGCAGGGAGAGGCATGCCTGAGGTGACGGTCTGCATGGAGTTGATGTTTTAGAGGAGGTGGTCAGGGAAGGCCTCACTGAGAAGGTAACCTTTCTGCAAAGACCTGAAGGAGAAGGGGGAGCACGTCTTGCTGATTGATACCTAAGGGCAAGGCATCCAGACAGAGAATAGCACTATGGTTCCTGAGGCAGGAGTAGCCACTGTGACAAATAGGACAAATAGGTAATGGTTCCCAGACTGGGAAATCAGGCATATAAGTGAATAGTAGTAACAGCAAGGAGGAAACGAGAGGCATAACATGAATATTTGGCACCTTTAGGGTGGCCAGTGGGCTCTGACATCGTGGGAATGGCGTTTGACAGATGTCGAAGCCAAAGGCTTGTCATCAGCATGTAGAGAGGTGGTGGTGGAAACAAGGAGCTGGGATGAGATTACGCTGTGGCAGAGGAGGTGGAGGATAGAACAGTGGGGAAGGCAAGGAGAGGCAGGCATTGGGCAAGAGTCGTCACAGTTCAAGGCAGGAGCACGTGGGAGTGAGGGAGCAGTGGCCAGTGTCTCACTACAGAGGCTGAGAGAAGAGAGAGATGCTTGTCGAACTTGGTTCTTTGCGAGATCATTGCTGGCAGAGTGAAAACCGCCTCTACCATCAAGAACAGCAGATGTGTTAAAGAGGACAGTAGCCAGAAAGGGCTGTTCAATCAGACCCATCACTGGGACTTTATCACTTGTGGCTTCTGACTCTTTAGATTCTGTTTCTATGTCCAAAGGTGCTTCATAATGATTCTGTGTTACATTTATCAGTAATTGTCACAGAATTAAAACAAAACAAAACAACAAAACACTAGGCATGTTGTACCAGACTCTAAAACTGCTTCTCTTAGATCAGTGATTTTCATCTGGGGCCGATCCCTGACCCCAGGACACTTAGCGATATCTGGAGGCGTTGTTGGTTGTCAGGACTCGAAGGGTACACTGCATCTAGATCTAGTGGATGGGGGCCAGGGATGCTGCTGCAGTGCACTGAACAGCCCCGCATGACAAAAACTTATCCGGCCCACAGTATCAGTAGTGTCACGAGTGAGAAACCCTGCTCTAGATTATATTCAAGTAGTCAAATGCTACATTTTTTTACCTCAGTTAATTTTTTTCTTTAATTAAAAAACATGTTCACAGAAAGACTTACATAAAAATTTGTAGCTGCATCATTCACAATAGGCAGAAACTGGGAACAACCCAAATGTTTATCAACACATGAATGGTCAGCCAAATTGGTCCATCCATGCAATGGAACACCACTCAGCAATAAAAAGGAACAAAGTCGTGATACACACAACGATATGGATGAACCTCAGAAAGTATTATAATGCGTGAAAGAGCCAGATGTAAAAAGTACATATTGTATTACAGGCAGCCCCCGGATTACGAGTGAGTTCTATTCCTAAGTCTGTATTTAAGTCGAATTTGTACATAAGTCGAAACAGTTAGGTATGGTTCATATCTAATGTCAGTTAGTCATATGTTTGTCTTAGTATATCTTTCTATGCGTTAAAAAACATTAAAGAAACTTCCAGATACACTAAAACATCTTTAACATAATAATACAATAATAATGCTTTTATGCACTTGCAAAGTAGGGCCTGTTTGGTGTTACGAACCATTGTACGTACCTCAAATTTTTAATATAGTTGGCTTTAGGGGGGTTGGTTCTGCCATAGGCTCAAGCCACGGAGTCTGCTTAAGGTAAAAGCCAAGAGTTTTATTGAAAAAAAATTAGCAAATCGGCAAAACACAGCAGTTGTGTCAAGTTAGAGGTTTTTATACATAAACAAAGGAAAGGTAAGAGGGTTAATGATTGGTTGTAGATAAGATCAGTTTCAGTTTGAAGTCCTTTGAAATGTAAAGATTGGCCAGCTGGTGTGGGGGGGGGGGCGGTGAGGGAGTGAGCCAGCTGGATTGGGTGATTCTTAATGGTGGAATTGTAGTCAGCTATTCATGATTGCAGGCCTTTCTGGGGGCAAACTGTTCACATATTTGTCTCAAATGGTTTATATCCTGACTAGTTTGGTTAGTTATGAACATATTCTTCCTGAGAACAGTCATTTACATCTTGACATACTCTTCCTAAATGATTTTACAACCTGACCTTTTGTTTCCTGGGAATGCATGTTGGCCCCATCATTCTGTTTGTTGAGGGTGCTTAAAGTTCCCTCATTCTTTTCTAAAAGTTATTTGTCTTTTGGTTTCAGCAAAGCACAGTAGAAACTTAACAGAAATGATAGGCTGTAGTTTTTAAGCAGAACCTATGCTAAAAATCAAAATGGAGTCTGACTTTGGTCAAGAACATAGCTCTTTACTGTTAATTAGGCACCTTGATTATTAATTTTAAGTGCTGTTACTCAGTTTGTAACTATGGGTTGTACAAAACTCGGATGTTTGTAACCCAGGGACCGCCTGTATTCTGTTTCTATGAAGTTCTTCACAGGCAGAACTAAGCCAGAGTGATAGAAATCAAACGACTGGTTGCCTTTCAGAGTTGAGAACTGACTAGAAAGTGGTAGGAAGGAATCACTGTGAGGATGGAAATGTGTCTTAATTGGGGTGTGATCGCATGCGAATATGTTTGTCAAATCACACACTTACAAAATATGAATATTGTATGCAAATTCTCAATTAAGAATTTTTTAAGTAGACCTTTAGGGTTATTATCTCCATCTCATAAACATTTTGCAAGGTTTTGTATGTTGAATATTCTTATATAGTTGATGTCTGTAGGCTCTAGAATGGAAATAAGTGGTTCCCCAGATTACAAATTGAAAACTACATTTCATTAATGTTATATTTATGAAGGTTAAATTATGAGGAAGAGTATTCCTCTTTCTACCCTTATATTTACCAAAGCAAGTAGTAGACACAGTGAAGCCAAAATTTCAGGAAATTGAATTTATAAAGCAAATTAAGTATGCCTTGGGGATTTGGGTTTTACTTAGCTCTGCTTTCAGGACTTGGCCTGTAAGATATAATGTGGAACAGTCTTGGTATAAATGGACGTCTGGAAATAAACTGGTGGCACAGCACTAATGGGGTGGCTTGGCCCTCCTTCCTGAGCTCCGTTTGTGTTCATATTCCCACAGACTCATCCCCCGAAGTGTGTTCAGTGCGGCCAGTACCTGGACGACCCTGACCTCAAGTATGAACAGCACCCCCCTGATGCAGTAAGTTCAAGCCCTGGTTTCAGTCTTTTGTTTCCTGTCTTTTATGCCTGTGCTTAATGGTCTACTGTTTCTCAGGTGGATGAGCCACAGATGTTGACAAATGAGAAACTGTCCATCTTTGATGCGAATGAATCTGGCTTTGAGAGTTACGAGGCTCTTCCCCAACACAAACTGACATACTTCAGGTAACTGCTGTCCTTTTGTTTGTGTGCTTACTTCCTTGTAGTAAGGCACTTCTCTAAAGACACTTAAGTTGTTAATATCCTGGGGTGAAGCTCATTCTCGCACCTAACCTGAAAAACTTCTTAAGCTGATAACACTTCATGAATAAGAGCCGCAATGTGTGTGTGTGGGGCTGGGGGTACGGGGTTGGG